TTTGGCGACATATTCTTCATCAACGAAGTCACAGTTATTTCCGGGAGAACAGGAGGGAAGAATGTGCGCGACATCGTCCCGTTTCTAGGGCTCGTACAAACTAGCTTCTGACATTTTCACTCCCCCCCTATCCTGCACACTCCCTTCCTATCCTGCCGCCAGCTGAACGAACTGCTGGTTGTGCCGCTCGTTTTGTATCGCCTTGTAAGTTGTGCTTGCTCGCGCCTCCTGCTTTCTTCCGCAGATCCTCTCTTCATTCTCAGTGCATTACTTCCACTCGGCTTCATCAACCTACGTCGAGCTGTTCTCCGTGACATCAAACAAGGAATCTACGTACTCTCTCAATTTTGGAGAGGTGGCTACTAGAAAGATCATGCTCACAACATCGGATTCCCAAGTTTATCTGTCGGAAATTCAGGTTTCTGGAACTAGTTCGCCTGGTGAGCAGTCTCTTTGAACAAATGTTAGATGGGCTACTTCGCTCTGTTGGTGCTGTCAAAGAAGAAATGCCCTCTTTTGCAATATCTTGGGGTTTATTTTACGCGTCCATCCTGTTGGCGATGCATTGCGGTAGGCCCCGCCGCTCCTACCCCTTGCCCTAAGGGCTGGTATCAGGATTTGAAGGCTCAAACAGCATGCAAGATATGCCCTGAGGGATATTTTTGCGAGGACAGCACAGTTACGCCGTCATCGAAGTGTCCCCCGGGTTACTACTGCCCCAAGGGGTCGTACAATGGGCATGAATACCCATGCCCCCTGGGAACTTACAATAAACTAGGAGGTGCCAAAGGAGCGTCAGAATGCCTGCCTTGTCCCGTAGGAAAATACTGTGGCTCGCGCGGCCTAGAGGAACCAACAGGAGAATGCTTAGCTGTGAGGTTTCCTCTATTCGTAGTTCTTGTGAAAATAAGAAGACACTGAATATCCCCTGCGGTGTGCCTCGCTCCCAGAAGCACATTGCTCTATGTATTGTCGTGCAACCTCACAGGGCTATTACTGCAAAGGTGGGGCGTGGTCGCCTGCTCCTCACCCCGATGAGAAAAATCCAGACGGAATTCCCGGATCAGCAGGCAGCCTATGCCCGATTGGCTACTACTGCCAAGAAGGAGCAGAGTCTCCAGAACCCTGCCAAGAGTAAGAAGACACATTTTTGTCGCGTTTCCATGCCCATAATGTTCAGCTTAACTGCTTTCCGTGCCTGGCTGATAGTCGGCGGGTGCGCAGTGCAAAGCCAGTGGAATTTGTCAATTGTCCGCAGGGGGACGAGCTCGTCAGTTGCCGGAGGCAAAGCGCAAAGCGACTGCCTGCCGTGCCAGCCTGGGCAGTACTGTTCAAGCACGATGGGGACTGGGCTTTGCGCTGAGGGGTACTACTGTTCAGGCGGCAGTACAACAGCTACACCTACGGATAATACCCACGGAAACGTATGCCCAGCCGGTTACTATTGTCCGGAAGGATCTTATGTTGCGCAGGTACGAAACGCTCATGAGTCTAAGAAACGCCCCTTGAAGTTTCCATGGTGGATATGTTCCTCACCCCCACTCCCCGGCATCTAACTTTATCCGCACCGCCTGTGTCTCTGAGGCTCGATTCAGCCCTGCCCTCCAGGTACATTCAGTGAGGGCGGAAGAGGAGAGTGCACTCCATGTACGGTCGGCTCGAGTTGCTCCAAGTCTGCGCTAACGAGTCCAGAAGATCTCTGCCCAGCAGGTCACGCGTGTGCCGAAGGCACAATATTCCCTGTACCCTGTCCGCCGGGCACATTCGCCGCTAGCCAAGGCAGCGCCTCGTGCGAGCCTTGCTCTGGTAAGAACAACAGCGACGTAGGAGTCTAAAGGATGTTCGAAGCTGGACCTATCGGTACACGGGTGACTCTCAGCTGTGCTTGGTATAGTATATATAGTATAGTTAGGGAAGGCTGCATGTGACCTTCCTCAGGTGGGTTTGTTTGCGACGATGCCGGGCTCGCTCGCCCTTCTGCACTATGTCCTAGTGGCTTCGTCTGTGCCAGTGGAGCTCGCACGGATCTACTGCCGCTACATGTATTTGGCGAGGACAGCGACGAATACGGGTTGTGTCCCATTGGTCACTACTGCCCATCTGGGTCCTCTACGCCGACACCTTGTGCTCGTGGGACCTTCCAGGTGCGAGTTTCCCTTCTATACTCCCCCCGCATCTCTCCTTTTCGGTGCGAAAAATCTCATAAAGCTCCGCCATGAAGCTCTTAGCATGCTCTGGTCATTGCCTTGGCTTAGGATGGAGTTGGTGCACTGGACTGCAAAGCCTGTAGTCCAGGATATGCATGCACAAAAGAAGGCCTAACAACTCCGCAGACTCCCTGCGACGCTGGATATTACTGCTTGAAAGGTTCGGATACAACTCGCCCTACGGACGGACTGACTGGCGGACGGTGTCCTGCTGGGTGGCACTGCCCTTCCGGCAGCATTATGCCACGGGCGTGCTCTCCTGGCCAGTACACCTCGGAGCCTGGGCAGGCAAAATGCAAACCTTGCCCTGCGGGATTTGAATGCCAGTTGTTGAGCTCCACGCCAACTACATGTCCTGATGGGCTGGTGAGTTCAACAACGAAACCCGGTTCACTATTGGCGGCGTGGCTCAACTGGGGAACTCGGTGAAGGCCCCGATTCCGCAGCCGTTGTTGTAGAAACTCATATTCCATATCCGTTCAATGTGTATACGCATGGTTAACTGTTTAAAAAATTTTAGGTCCAGGCGAAACCACCCAAGATCATGTGACTCAACTAAGCTAGTCTTCGCTAACTCAGAAGCGCATGCATGAAAGGCTTAACATCATTGCGTCTAGCAAGTATTGTGTGTGCCGCCTAGGTTTGTCTCGAAGGAACAATGAAGGGAAGTCACTGCCCGTACGGTGCCTACAGGGTGCTCAGCGACACTTCTGAGCTGGAAGCTGCTTGCGCCCCCTGCCCAAGAGGCAAATATTGCCGTGCTGGAGTCATTGCGGGCCCGTGCGCTGCTGGGTAAGTCGGAGGCG